ATGCAAGTGAAGTGAGCCATGTGGCCTGTTGGATCGACCGGGGTGGTCGACGGAGTGTTATGGCCAAAAGAGGTAGGTCGGACTGGGGTGGTCGACCAGACTAAAGTGATTGGTTAGTCTGGCCTTGGTGGTCGATCGGACCAAAATAATATAGTTTTATCGATCAGACCTTTGCGGTATATCAAACTTAAGTGATTGGTTTACTGATTGGTCCTTCGTGGCTAATCAAATCAAAGTAATTAGTTTTATTGATCGAGCCTTAATGCTCGGTCGGCCAAATTGTGGTTTTATCAATCAGACCTTCATGGCCGATCGATCCAAAGTGATTGGTTTTGTCAATCAAGATTTGGTGGCCAATTGAGCAAAGTGACTAGTTTTACTGTTCGGACCTTCATGGCCGATCAAACTAAAGTTGTTTAGTTTTTCTGATCTTGCCTTCATGGATGATCAAACCAAAGTGTGGTTTTATCGATCAATCCTTCACGGTCGATCGAACTGAATTGTGGTTTTTTGGTTGATCTTGGTGGCCGATCGAACCAAAATATGGTTTTTTGGTTGGTCTTGGTGGCCGATCGAACCAAGGTAGCTGCATATGCAAAGTGTCACGTAAGACATGCAAGCAAATGAAACCAAATGCATTTTGATTGTAAATTTGATTCTTCCTAATGCCCTCACATAGAATCCCAGGCTTTTAGCTTTTGGATGCGTGACACGGCCGCTTCCGACTTTGGAGTGGAAAGTAGGCAACTTCATCCTCCAATTTTTCATAGGAAAAGTCTTTCACTATTGGTAGAATAAACTAGCTACAAGGTTTTAGCCGTCCTATTAATCCTCCGTGATCATGTAAAATGGGTTAGCTACAAAAATTTTTTTATTCTTCAAAATCCAAATATTCCAACCCCTCAAAAAAAAAGTTGGAAGCGCAAAAACCATGGGAAATTGGGATTCCGACCCACTAAGATTTAGGTCTAGGGGTTTACAAGGAAGCACTCTTAACTACAGTAGATATTTGGCCATGATTGTAAAGTCCTAGCTCGGTGCTTTCTTTAAGATGCATTTGACTAATCAATAGGTGTATTGCCATCCCGACTAGTGTCGCCCGACCGACTCGCTTAGCGTTGGCAACCAAAACCTACGCGACACCACAAAGCCGACCAATCAAAAAACTTATTGTCGGGCCGACTGGTATCGTTTGACCAATCGGACCGTTCAATAGTAGGCGATAAATTGAGTTGGATAATACCGAGTGGGCCGGTCAAACCCGTCTCGTGTGAGTGAGCAAACCCACAACAACCTAGCAAAATTTGTTCCTATGGCTGGCTAGAAAGGAAATACAAGGGTTTATAGTCTCACAATGCGATAGTTGCGGTCGCGTTCTCTGCCTGTCCAAGCAATCGACGTCCAAACCACGCTCTAATGTACCTCCCAAAACATGTGCGGGATGAGGAAAGAAACAAGTGAGGGCAGAGGCATACAAGTATCTTCAATAACCGAGTTTAGTATACAAGAACACGACCAAAACATACCTTTATGAGAGGATTTGATCGCCGAGTCTCTATACAAGTATCTTCGATAACTGAATTTAGCAAACAAGAAACTTTATTCTGCTATTTGGTAGGATTACTAAGATTATAATGATTTTTCAACTTGTTAGATTTAATATCAGATGTACATAACTTATTGGATAATAAAAATAAAATTTACATTCATTTCTATTAAATTTTACTCAATTTGTAATCAACAAATTTTTGCTGATAACGATTTGGTGAAAATGAAATACTTCGTTTTCAAGATCAAATGGAAATCCCAAAAATGCCTCTAAAGTCGTTATAACCCTCAAAGAGAGTCCAAAACATGACGTGCATTGAACAAACTTATGAACAAATGTACCGCTATGATTTTTTCTCCATGGAAATTAGTGAGAAATTATTAACATTAAGTTTATAATATGTGGAAATCTCGACTTATAATATATTTATGAATTTCATTTATAGCCTCATCTAATTCTTTTCCAATAGCTGCTTGAAAAGAAAAACAAAAGAATCATTTTCAATAAGAAAGAAAAAATAACTAAAATAAAAGACCCATCACAACCTATGAACAAAAGTTAGGTTTAGAATTTGCGAGAAATCGTGAGAAAGTGTTATATCAGGATACTCGAAAAATAAATCAAGCGGATGATAACTTCTGATTTCTATAGCCACTAATCGCTATGGAACACCGATCGTTGTTGACCCTCTACTTACTATCGTCAAAGTACCTCGAATGTGACGCAACAAAGTATCCAAAATACGGTGTAATTAAGTTCCCTAAATATTATGTAATGAAGAATCATAAACACAACGTAACGAAGTACCCCGAACACGGCTTAAAAAATACCCTAAACATTGTGTAAAGCAGTATCTCGAGCATAGTGTAACAGAGTACTTTGAGTGGTGTGCAACAACGTATACCCACACGCCATATTAAATATACGACAAAAACTTACGGTGACATCTGTTTATAATTGTCATATTCTGAATATGACGACTTCTTCTGGACTCATGAAGTTTTTTTCTTTACATCATATGTCGAAAATTGATGCCTCCAATGTAAAATGGTAAACTTGAGAGAAGTGATGCAGCCAACAACACCAACTATGACATTAGTAGTCGATCAACGCTATTGCAACTCCCCATTAGGACTTATGTGCCAACTACGACTTATGTGACTCAATGTTATTACAGCTTCTAAGTAAGACATTTGTGACACGTTGACACTATCATAACTTTTCATTCTAGCGTAAGGGATAAATTATGACATATGCAACTAATTGTTATTGTTGTTTGTGACTATAACACATGTGATTAACTGACACTATTACAACTTTTCATTACGACCTACGTGATCAACTACGATCTATATGATTAATTGTTACTGCAACTTTCAACTACTACCTACCAATTGATGCGCTTGTAGCTTTCAACGACAACCTATAAGACTAACTACTAGTACAAATTTCAACTATGATATCTATAACAAACTGACACTATTACAATCACTCTCTATAACATATGTGACACTATAGTAACAATAAAATACAACATTTGTAGCTCACTATCACTATTATTACAAGTGCTATATTTATTGTAGCTCAATTATATATATTAAGGTTGGTCTCCTACTATATATTTGTAATTATCAACATTATTTGTTTATATTCATTAATTCAAAAAAAAGAGTGAGCCTAAGTGAACTATTTTGATTGTGTGAGGGACCGAGATTTTTTACTTCTCTACAATTTTTTTGCATAAAAAATTATGTTTTGCTCCTACTAATTTTCTATTATTTGTGAAAACTACATTTTTATATGTTATGAGTTATAATAGGAAATAATTTATTCTATAAGAAGTTATAATGAATAAAATATTTTCTTTGAATTAAGAAGATGTTTGCTTTACTATTTTATATTTATTTCCTTGGATTAGGAATTATTTATTTTTCTATTGTATGTTATTTTGAGTGTTTTCTCTTGTGGTTCTCGGGTAGAGAGAAGGAGAGAGAGAAGGAGAACGAAGAGACGAGAGACTTTCTTTTGTAATTGTCGACGTGATCAAACGGTGTAATTCTTCAATTAATAAAATTCTCTGCAACTCCGTGGATGTAGGTAATCTGTTGAACCACGTAAATCTGTGTGTTCTTTTCTGGTGTGAATTTTCTTGTTCCATTTTTTGCTTCGTCAAAGTCGATCGTTTTAAATTTCATATATATCACAACAACTATTATCAGATCCAATGACTGCAGATGAAGTGAAAGTTTCATGGATCGAGAAGTTTGATGGCATAGATTTTGGTTACTGGAGGATGTAGATAGAGAACTACCTCTATGGGAAGAAACTCCTTCTTCCGTTATTGGGGAAAAGACCTGAAAGAATAGATGAGGCTGAATGAAATCTGTTGGATAGACAGGTTCTGGGGGTTATTCGATTGACCCTATCAAGGTCCGTTGCAAACAACGTCGTCAAGGAGAGGACGGCTGTAGATCTTATGACAGCCCTATTAGGTATGTATGAAAAACCATCGACGAATAACAAGGTATATCTGATGAAGAAATTATTCAATTTGAAGATGGCGGAATGTATGTCTGTTGTATAACACCTGAATGATTTCAATATTATCACAAATCAATTATCGTATGTGGAAATCAAATTTGATGATGAGATGAGTGCACCGATCATGTTGGCTTCATTGCCAAATAAATGGGAAGCTATAAAGATGGTTGTCAGTAATTCTGCAGGTAAAACAAAATTGAAATATGAAGATATTCATGATTTGATTTTGGCTGAGGAGGTGCGCATGAAATATTTTGGCGAGATCTCAGGTTCGAGTTCAGTATTAAATTTTGATTCCATAGGGAGATCACATGACAGGAACCCAAACAGGGGAAGATCAAAATCAAAGAACAGAAGCAGGAGTAAGTCAAGGCCTAGTAAACAAGTAACTTGCTGGAATTATGGCAAAAGTGGCCACATAAGGAGGAATTGTAGAAATCCTAAGAAGATAGAGAATTACAGTGCGAAATCACAGGATGCACTATTGCTGACAGTTCATGGTTCTGTTGATGACTGGATACTAGATTCAGGGGCTTTTTTCCATACAACTTTCCATCGGGAATTGTGCGAAATTATGTTGCAAGTGACATTAGAAAAGTATATCTAGCAGATGGAGAAGCTCTGAATGGGAGAAGCTCTGAATGTGGAGGCAATGAGAGATATTGACATTGCACTTCCAAACAAGAACAAGTGGACTCTGCAAAAGGTCTGTTTCTTGAAATGTGGCAGGACGCCAAATGCATGAAAACTGGATCCTGTACACACAGATGTGTGGGGACCTTCTCCAGTGGCATCTCTTGGAGGCTCTCGTTACTACATCAAATTCATTGATGATCATAACAGATAGGTATGAGTTTATTTCTTGAAGTATAAATATGATGTATTCAGTGTGTTCAGGACTTGAAAGGCCATGGTTGAGACAGAGACATGCTTAAAGCTGAAATGTTTGAGGTCTGCTAATGGTGGTGAGTACATTGATGGTGGGTTCAAGGAGTACTGTGCAGCTCAGGGAATCATAATAGAGAAGACCACTCTGGGGACACCACAACAAAATGGTATTGTAGGGCGCATGAATAAAACCATTAATGAGCGGGCTAGAAGCATGAGATTGCATGCCCGACTACCAACTATTTTCTAGGCAAAAGCTGTCAATACTGTAGTTTATTTGATCAACAGGGGATCATCTGTTCCATTAAACTATGAATTACTTGAAGAAGTCTGGAGTGGGAAAGAGGTCAAATTTTCTCACCTTAAGACTTTTGGTTGTCGTTCTTATATTCTCATTAATCCTGATGCTCCAAGTAAGCTTGAGACTAAGTCAAAGAGATGTTATTTCATTGGATATGGAGATGAGACATTTGAATATCGTTTTCGGGATGATTAGGGTGGGAAGATCATAAGGAGCAGGAACGTGATTTTCAATGAAAATGTTATGTACAAGGACAAGTCTAGTATAGTTTCTGAAACAACACTGAAGGAATCTGAGTTTGTAAGATTTGATGATTTACTAGAGATCACAGTGCATGACAGAGATGCATGTGATGATGAGAGTGAATCCGGGGCATCCACTCCTATTGTTCCACAGTCAGTTTTAGAGCAGCCCCTACAGTTGCAGTTCGCAGGTCAGAAAGGGTTAGACGATTTCTACAGCATTATTCTCCAACTTTGAACTACATTTTGTTGACAGATGGTGGAGAACCTCAGAGCTATGAAGAAACCTTACAAGATGAAAATTCAAGCAAGTGGGAGCTAGCCATGAATAGGGGTGTAAACGAACCGAACACGAACGAACAAAGCTTGTGTTCGTGTTCGGTTCGTTTAAAATTTAGTTTGTTTGAAATAAGCTCGTGTTCGTTTCTTAACGAACGAGCCGAACACGAACCGAACACGAGCTGTTCGTTATATAACTTATATTATATAAATATTCAATATCTATATTAGTATATTACTACTATAGTATATTAATATATTATTATTATTATTTTATTATATATTATAATTTATAAAATTTAATGTTTTAAAATATAATAAATTTTTTATATATAATTATTTTATATTATTTTATATTTCAAACAATAACGATTCGAACACGAACGAACGCATCACTGTTCGTGTTTGGTTCGTTTAACTAACCGAACGAAAAAAAATTGTTCGTGTTTGTCTCGTTTACTTATCGAACGAATCGAACACGAACTCATTGACGAACCGAACACGAACTGTTCGCGAACAACGAGCTTTTTTGACAGCCCTAGCCATGAAGGAGGAGATGGATTCTTTACTATAAAATCAAACTTGGGAGTTGGCAGAACTTCCATCTGGGAAGAATGCATTACACAACAAGTGGTTGTACCGGGTGAAGCCTGAGCATGATGACAATAAGAGGTACAAGGCTAGACTTGTTGTAAAAGGTTTTCAGCAGAAGCAAAATATTGATTATTCCAAGATTTTCTCTCTTGTGGTGAAGCTTACAACCATCATAATGTTACTGTCTATGGTGGCTACTGAAGATCGCTTCCTTGAGCAGTTAGATGTGAAGACAACCTTTCTTCATGGGGATCTTGAAGAAGACATCAACCTGAAGGGTTCGTGGTACAATGTGGTACAATGAAAGGAAGAGTCAGTTTGCAGATTGAAGAAGAGCTTGTATGACCTGAAGCAAGCTCCTAGACAGTGGTACAAGAAATTTGATAATTTCATGCATAGTGTAAGGTACAACAGATGTCAGGCAGATCACTGTTGCTACATCAGGTATTTTGACAATTCCTATATCATCCTACTGCTGTATGTGGATAGTATGCTTATTGCAGGTGCTAGTATTGAGGAGATCAATAATCTGAAGGAGCAGATGTCAGAGCACTTTGGAATGAAGGATTTGGGAGCTGCAAAACAAATCCTTGGTATGAGAATTGTAAGAGATAGTGTCAGAGACTGTAAAGGAGATGATATGGCTACATGGCTTCTTCGAAGAATTGGGCAAGAAGAATCAGAAGGGAATTCTCTACAGCGATAGTCAGAGCGTAATATTCCTTGTCAGGAATCCAACATTTCAGTCCAGGACTAAGCACATTCAGATCAGATATCACTTCATACGGTCATTGTTGGATGACGGACAATTGTTGCTTGAGAAAATTTGTGAAAGCCAGAACCCTGCTGATATGTTGACAAAGGTTGTTACTCTGGAGAAACTGAAGTTGTGCGCAGCTTCAGTTAATCTTCTAGCTTAAAGACAGGGGCCTTGAGAGGATAACACGTTTGAAGAAAAGGGCTACGTCACCAGTGGAGGATATCAGTCTGAGGAGGAAGAACGATGTTGTCAGTGTACCAGTCTCTAAGTGGGAGAATTGTTAGAAAATAGTGGAGCCTGGTCTACTATTTTCTAATAAGTGATTATGGAGAATAATGAAAGAAAATATGTTTTTTTGTCTCTTAAGAAATTTTGGAGTCTAGCTGCAATTCATGTACTTCTGTTGGAGTCTAGGTGTATTCAGGTATTTATGTTGGACAAAATGATCATTTATCCAACAATAACTGCAAATAAGTTGTTATGAATAAGCTCCCTCAAACAAAAAACTAGCTTATTATGATACTATGCAGATTTTCAGATTAGCAGATTATAGGTGCCCCAAACAGACCCTAATATGAATTGATTATTGGAGATATTAAGTGATGTATCTTTACTTTCATATCATTTTATTTTTATTATTTTTTCAATTATAAAATTTTTATAAGGGTTATTTATATTCCTATTCAAATTAATAAAATAATAAAATATTCCACTTTATTTCACATTATTCAGAATTTTAACATTATATAATATTAAAATGTGAAACTAATCACAAATCTTCCCGCAGCCAATTCTTAACGAGAATTATATTGATACCATTCAATATTAAATGTCTAAATTAATCTCATCTGAAATGTACACCTACAAACGATAGTTACACACGGACGTGGGTGAGAAAAGCGAGAGTACGTGTACACCTGCATGCTTCGCACCTAGCAATTTTCTCGGAACTAGTCCTCTCCAACTTGGGAACAAGATGTTTCAATGCTCGACACTATCCGCCGCCCGACTGCCCTATATCTTCGCACCCGGCGAACTTCCCGGAAACCAAAGAGCGACAAAGCCCGACAAACACAGAAGCCGAGACGCCAATCAAATCGAAACCCAAAGAGCTGTAAAAATGAGCGGCAGCTTTCTTAGGAGCGGCGGCTTGAGATCCGCTCGCGAGCTTCTACTTCGCACCCGCTTCCCCGTCTCTTCTGGCTTGGTGCGTGAATCAGCACAGCGGCCCAGGGCTTACGTAAACTCATTTCCGGCCGGGTCAAAGGTCGGCCGAAACTCCTCTTCCCACCTTTCACCTGCCGCGTACTCTGCTCTATCATCAGCCGCTTCCAGGAATGGGTTCGTGTGCTGGTATCTAGGGATGATCGAAGCACGCCCTATTTTGACCAAGAGCATAACCTCCGGAGTTATATTCATCGCGGCCGATATCACGTCGCAGGTATGTGCTCTAAATGGAATGGGACTTTGTAATGATGGCTTTCCATGGAAGTGGATTGGAGCATCGGTAGTTCCAGGACATTAAACCAGGGAGGAAGACAGATGATAATGCCTTCATGGCGACAAGATATAGGTATAAAGATTTTACTACTGAACTTCTCCTGAATGATTGTTGTTTGATGCTATGACAGATGGTCACTCTTTCAGCTTCAGCTTCTCTTGATTGGATACGAACTCTACGGATGGCTAGCTATGGGACGCTAGTTGCAGGCCCAGCATTGCATCTATGGTTCAATTTCGCTTCAAGAATTATCCCAGAACGAGATGTAATCAGTACACTGAAAAAAATATTTATCGGGCAAACTTGCTTTGGCCCAATTATGACATCTATTTTTTTCTCTCTGAATGCTGGTCTACAAGGTAAATTTTTTTTTTTTAATCTTTTGTGCTGGTATTTTTTTAACGCTTTCTTTATGATACAAGTTGTGATTATGCTAATCCATGTGCTGAGGTTTTTGGATTTTTAGGGTTTATGATAATTCATTTTTGTTTTTTTCCCCTTTTGATTTGTTGTTAATGTTTAGGTAGATTTTGTTAATCTAACGTCTATTTTACTAAGGATAGTATTAGAAACTTTATTTGTGATTTATAGAAATTTATCCCACATTGCAGCTTAATTGGGTGTTCTATCATAATACTGCTGAAAAGCAACTAATTTTAGTTTCTCTTCTTTACATCACTACAATATAAAAGTACGAATATTACATGAACTGTAGGCATTGGCCTCGCAACGTGATTTGTTATATAACTTTGATATGCATTTTGTTTTGTTTTATAGATCAATTCTTACTTTTGATGATTGTGGATGATCATAACAGTCAATTTAGTAGAAAGCAATGAGAACAGAATTCATCTTATGTACTTCATATTCAAATTAAATTGTTAGTCAAACTAAGGCATTGATTTACTTGAGCTCATCGTTCATTAATTAAATTACTTAATAGCCATTAAGTGCTATTAATATGTGTAATTTAGCAATGGAATGCAGGAAAAAAAATCTCTTGCAATTTTATAATAATGGTTAGTGCTGTGGGGATTAGTGCTGAAGTTTGGTGTTGCAAGGAGGTATTAATGAGCCATTGGCATATGATAAGTTGAAGTAAGGGAATTAAAATTGTTGGGTTACACAAGATGATGACAAGATATAGAAGACCGAAGTGGGATGGGGATACTGAAATTGATGGGGTTTGCTAGATTAAAGAGGTAAAGTAGCCTCTTTTTGCTCCAATATCATAGTGTGGAGGGCATGACAACATGTGGATGTGGGAAAAAGGGTACGGGGACCATGATAAAATATAAGAGTTATGAATGGATATTTAATTTGGAAAATCACCTCCATTATTTTGTAATAATAGAACCTTCTGTAGACTTAAATGCTAAATTAAAACAAAAAAAATCTATAATTATGATAGTTTTGTTGAATGAAACTAACTGCTTTACGTAAGAAAGAAATCATCGGTATCCAAGTTTGAGCTTGGAAAAAAATGTGAAAAAAAACACAGCCTACATCAACCATGCAACCTTTTTGAACCTCCTACAGAGACCAGTTTGCATAAATGTCTTTAGTGCACTCTGCTTCAATTCTTCTCTGAGGGTGTTGAATATTGTGCTTTCTGGTTAAGGCTCAATATCTTTTAGGAAGTCGTATGTTAAATACATTAATACACTTACTCAGTTGACTTTTTTGGAAGGCATTTCATCAAACAAACTGCCACTAAATTTGGGCTTTTCGTCCATTAAGATTGATTATTTAGAATTATGTTTACTTAATTGCAAGCCTCCATACCTTCTCTAAGGTAATTTTACAGCAATGAAAATAACAAAATCATTAAATGTGATTAATTGCAAGCCTCCATACCTTCTCTAAGGTAATTTCCAAAACAAAATCATTAATGCCCTTATAATTTATTTAAAGTTTTTGTGAATTGTAGAGACTCGCACTCTTATAAACTTTTTATCTGGGCCATAATAGACGATCTTATATTATCAGCCCTCTAATATTTTGTATTTCGTGGTCACAGGCGAATCTGCTTCTGAAATTTTGGCCAGATTGAGAAGAGACTTGATTCCAACTTTACTGAATGGCCTTCTCTACTGGCCCATATGCGACTTTGTTACTTTCAGATTCGTCCCAGTTCGTTTACAGGTATGTATACATAATCATGATTTATTTTTTGGGAAATTTACATACATACCACTCAGTTACTATGTATTTACATATCAGAAACCTAAACTTCAATTTTCTACTTGCATACCACCTTACCTGTGCATGAAGAAGATGTATGTCACCTTTTAAAAGCTAAAATGGTGCTATTTTTCATGTGATGTGAAAGATTTGTGTGGTATAAATGCAAAAAGCAAAATTTAGGTGTTTGTTACCTAAATACATAGGAATTAGGTGGTAACTATGTAAATGCCCCATTTTTTTCTTTTAATCATGCTAATAAAAAACCATATCTAATTATTCGTTTTTTTTCTCTTTATATTTGCAATCTTCTCAGCCTTTGGTTAGCAATTCCTTCTCATTTGTGTGGACCATTTACCTCACATACATGGCAAGTTTACAGAAGGTATCAGCTCCCCAGATTGCAGCCAATTGATTTCAGTGCTTAGCTGTATTTTGTGCTCTATAGTTTCTTAGGTTATCAGCCCTCCAATTTTTTTGCACACATTTCATTATTAGAGAATTAGAAATTTCATTTTTCTCTAGCCTTAGGCTTCTGTTATGTATTGAATTAAAGCTTCCCTTTTTGCTAAGAAGTCTATTTAACACCTCATGTATTGGCTCATTCTGGTAATATTTTCTAGTAATGAAATGAAAAAAATGTTTTTTTTTGTTGTCGAAATTGCGAAGCTCATTATCATTCAGAAACTGTTGCATTAATTGAGCCTTACAAATGCTTGGTTTCACTTGAAGCTGTGTGTAATTAAAGTTTAAGAATGTATCATTAGTTATTCTAAGATCAATATATTTGTTGATTATTTGATGAGATTAGCCTTAATAAGTACACTGTATTTTAATGTCGATATGTTTGTTTAGTATTTGATGAGATTAATCTTAAATGTTGGAATATGTATATTTATCACTCTAGAATCTTACTGTTCAAGCTTAAGCCATTGGGATCTTTATTGCTTAATAATGCTTTCAGTTAAATGCATATTTTAATTTGGTTATTTAAATTTTAAAAATGTGTGCAAAATTTGGGAGAGTAGTGTTATTTAAGGGTGCTTGAAATTATAGAAGAAATAATTGCAGAATAACTGTTGTATATTATCAAAATCATCCCAAATAGACTTCATGAAAAGCAACGGCTATTTTTCAAGGCAAGCGCAATGATAATAGTTTTTTTTTTTTTCATTCTTATTTTTTCATTATATTGCACTCTCTTTTATGCTCTTTAATTATGCAATATTGTATTACAACAAGAAGCCTTTATCCCACTGTGGGGTTTGTTTTATGAATCCTTTTTCTCTATTGCGTCTTATTGAGTGCCATTTTGTCATTCAATTCTAATAGATTAGGATTATTTTTTATACAATATGCCCTAGTCTTTTTAGGTCTACCTCTTTCTTAAGTTGAATCTAGAACATTTACTCTCTTAACTAGAGCATCAGACGGTCAACTCTATCTAATCTTGCCCGCCACGGGAGCTAACACCAATCCTATTATAGATATATTCATTTCACATTTTGTCTATAAGTTTCAAGCCACTCATACACAAGCATTCTCACTCGACAACACTTAACTTTGATTTATGTTTCATAGAGCATTGCAGGTCTCACCATCATCTTATAAAATTTTTCTTTAAGCCTAAGCAGTACTTTTCTACCACACAACAAGCCTGATCAATCCTCCAATTCGATCAACCAACTTGAATTCTACTTATAACATCCCCATTTAGATCGCCATCACTTTGAACAATAGACCTGACTGTTTTTTGTTCTTTTTGTAAATTGGAGTCTCCAGTGTTTTTTGTTCTTTTTGTCAACAATTACTAGCATTCTTGTATATTGGTATATTTTTAGCATAAATAATATTTTCATGCTAATTGCATGCGATAAATACAATGAACAAAGTTTTATATACGCACCTTGTTTGTATTATATGTTTTAATCAGGAAATTATTTTACAATTTTCATTCATGTGCTAGTGGTGGTTACATTTATAAGCATCTGACAAGATTCATTTATCATGTGAAGATGATGAGTGATGGTGCAACCATAATATCTGCTAGGGTTAGGCACATACCAAATCTTAAAGAAAAAAATTGAGAACTTTTAGTGCTTTCAATGATATAAGATTTTAATTTGGCTCTTTTTAAAAAATTGTGCCAAAACTACAAAATTTTTAAATTAAAACTTTTTACTAGTTTGCATAGTTCTTTTCATGAGATGATATTCGAATCGAAATTTTTTATGTGCTTTAAATATTCAAAAGGATAAAAAAAATTTTAAAAAAATTTTGTATGCATGAAACAACAAATCAGTCATTACATGTGCCTTTAAGCATGATGATGAACATGTTGTAGCTTAAAGAATCAAGTTCCAAGCACAAAGATGACTCTCAACCTATCGACTTAACCAATGGTTCTCGAGGCCAAAGCAATCAAAATTCCCACATAACAACATGACATGCAAATGAATTCAAAAAATAATGTATGAAAAATGAGGTCAACATATACTATCAGGAGAGGCGAAGCCCTAAAGTTTTGTAATGATAATTTTGATTGTCATGAAGTCGAAGCCAGTTCATTGATTGAATTTGTTACAAGAAGCTTCTTTGAATGTAGCTACTTTAGTTGAGTTTAAAAAGAGATTCACTTTATGAAAATTATTATGTCATTCTCAAGTGATGCAAGATGAAGCTTATGCTAGAATTAATGGAAGGCTGATTGAATATGTTTTAAATAATTATTATAAAAATATAAGTCAGTTTAAGTTCATTTAGTGATGGTAAATTAAGATATCCATGGGTGCAAGTTCTCAAAATTAATTATATCGTTTAAGTATAATATATGATAATACCTTTGATTAAGATAGTTAACTCATATTTGTGTTCGCTGAAAAGGCCTTTTGGGAGAACCAAGTAGTTAATGAGAATGCGGCGCCAATAGAATTTCATCATCCGACATGAATCTCGAGGCAAATATTCAAATTTCAGTAAAAAGTCATACAACTCGATGTTACCAAAATTGGTCCAATTTGATCCAAATCAAGCCAAGATTAAGTCATTAAACTGCTTTTAGAAGTTTTTTGAACACATTTGGACGTCAAACTAATGTCGATTCTGATGAGTCTATAGTCAAATTGAGCGTCTTGATAAACTCAGGATGACTCAAATCTTACATAATTAAGACACTCAAATATTCAACAAATGCTGTCCGATAGAGGAAAGTCCTTTGAGCCGTTTGAACAAAGTAATTCTTATTCTTACATTAATTGCAACCAAAACTTTAAAAATAGAGTCCACCCCTCTCATGAGAGGGAGGGGGGTAGGCTTCATAAAGAACTTGAAGCTTTAAGAATAAATTGAAGTTCAACATCACTCATGCCGTTGTTGACCCCCGCCGACCGCCGGCGACCACTGCTGACCGCATTCGACAATCACGGATTGCCGTCGAGCACTCCTGTTGTCATCAACCATCGTTGATCGACGTTGATCACCACCAACCACAGTCAACTATCATCGACCGGACGCTGCCAATCGCTATCGGTCGATGCTAGTTGACGTAACTTGGAAAACCTAGTTATCCTTTCTCGTCCGTGAGATAGGTGATTACAACTGCAATCATTTTTTTATAGTAGAACTCTTCAGCTGGATTAGTCCACGTGGTTTTTCCCTTTCTAAATTTTCCACATAAAAATTTCTGGTGTCATTATTGATTGTTTTCTCTTTTCTGAATGTGTGTTGAATTTTTATATCCCTCTAAGGCGATAATCTGCTGCTCTACTGTTGCGAATTTTCTAGCACACACCAAGATTTATAAAACATTATTTTGAGAATTCATCCTTTCATCAAGATATTATTATTATTTTTGTTTGAATGATTCCGATGGGTGCAGGTCTCAATAATTAATTATCTCCCCTACATTTGAGTTAAATTTTAAGTACAACTAACTATACAAGCTTTCTCAGAATGTGATATTATACTACTTAAGAATATAATTCACTATTTTGCTCAGAGGAGTTAGATTTGAATATTTATGAACACCCTAATCATTTGTCCATATTAAGGCCTCTATCCTCTTTTAACTTTGATGTTGCCCCAACAAGCTTCTTTATCATCATTTAAGTGATAATTACATGCATAACATTAATGTAGTTGATGCCATGATAATTGCCACTTTATTCTCCCTATTCTTTCGCCACTTCGTAGCCAAGTCTGTCATCTTGAAGTCTCTAATGTTGGGGAAATATTTGCGTGCGTCTAACGTACGCAAAGCTGCGTACGTCCATAGGTTATAGGGGGGTATTGGGTGTTATATCCGTGTTATACCCCCTATAACCTTTCTGTAACTTACAATATATGAAAACAGAACCACGAAACTTACTAGTTAAGGTAGGTTACATGGAGGTTACACAGGTATAACGCCGATATAACCCCCCAATATCCTCTCTATAACCTACCGGCGTACACAACTCTGCGTACGTTAGATGTACACAAATATTTACCCTAATGTTGTGCATCTCAATCCACTTTTCTATAACAACAAGGGTAAAATAAGTCATGCCTGGATGAATGAATGTATGACTTATAGCATTATATAATCACAAAAAGCATAAAACATAGTTTAAGAGCCGCAAGGGAGTGTCATGGATCATTTTGTGTTCCTAATTAGAGTTGCCAACATGTCAAAGTAATTTTCATTCTAGTTTAGCGAGTATGAGCGATATCGTTTAAGGGCTCCTAAGAGATTTGTGAAGAGAGTTTTATGAGAATGTAGTTGTGGCATGACACGAGAAATATAATATGCGAGTTTGACGGCCTTCAGAAGTGGATAGGTGTCTTCAGTGGTTGTCTCGATTGAGAACGACAAAGTGAATTCAGAATCAATGATGTTCGACGGTGAGGAGAATCACCACATGTTTCTGAACAGAATACAAACACACCACTTTCAGAAAAAGATGATACAACACTACTAAAATAAAAATAAAAATAAAAAAAAAACTAATATTAAAATCTCCATAATACTCGGAACAAAGGGAAAAGTCTCCAAAACTATATATATATAAAAAAAAAAACACACACATAAATAGTTCTATAATAGCAATAATTCTAATTAAAAACAGGAAATTAGAAAATCTAGAGAAATGCGAGATTCTTTGTTAAGCCCATCTCCCATAAATTTTGTATCGAGAAAATTTTACGTCTGAACACCGCACATTCAGAATTAATACTTTTCCTTCTAGAAGACTTAGGCTCTCGTGCCAACGGGTCTAATGGATTTGGTGCTAAGTCTTAAAGAGGCTTGCTACCCTTCCAACATGTTTCAGTATCTTTAATCAATAAGATATGAGAGAAGATTTGCATTGTGTTGTCCAATCACTTAATTTATGCCAATTGAATTTAGAGGAAGCATTTGAAATTATAAAAAAAATGTATATTATCCATTAAAAAATGATTTCAAACCAAATCCTAAAATACAAAAAAAGTAAAGATTAAAACAATTTTTATAATTTAAATTTATTCTTTTTTCCAAAATCATTAACAATTTGTAACATTTTTCATTTTATTATATACATTGAATGATTAATAATTATATGTATATATATATATATATA